AAGTACCTTTTTTATAATCTATATTTTCTTTCATTTTTTCTCTGCATGCAGAATTTGAATTTCAACAAAATATTTCCTGAGCATAATATATTTGCAAGAAATTTAACAGATACGAAACTGCAATAAAATAAAAAATATTTTTTTCAAATTGTGGGCATAGTACATGTGAATACCTGGCCGCCAACGTGTAACCGTTAGTGATCCGACATCGTTGTTAGTGTAGTCACTTACATAGGAACATGATAAAAATAAAAGTACACGTTTCTATCTCTGCCAACTTTAACCACAACCATGAAAAGAGAGCAATGAAGAGAGAAAAGAAAAATCTAGAAGATATGTTGGAAAGTGAAAGAGCAAAGCAGATCACATCACATACAAGTCCCTCATTCTATACACAGACCACGTAATAGTAATAGTAATATACAGTACAACACGGATAGGTCGAACTCAGATGACTCGAAATCACACATCCGTCAAACTGTGCCTGCGGTCCCGTTTTTTTCTTTCTTCTTTATCTTTGTAACAGATCCCTCGAAAGTTACCAAGGCCGGTCTCGACGAATTCGAGCTATCCGTGTTATACAGTATTACCATATATATATTCTCTGTACGTATAATGTACATATTCATACAAAATAATGGCCAATTTAGTAAAAAAAAACCAAACCATTTTCCCTTTGTACCTTTCAGACACACACAATTCAAACGTAAGTCTAGCACTCACAAAGGTAAAACACCAAGTACACTTGAAAGACATGTGAATGCTGCTGCATGTCTCTGGCTCAAGAATGGAATAAGGAATAATTTCTCCACAGGCAGACATTTTTTATCAACTCAATAGCAGAAAAAGTGCAACCTTCTCAACTGTTGTTATCTTTTACCCATGCACAGAAATTAGGAAAACTTAGGCCAATTAAATTATGCCCAATTTCTTCCACTGGCAACAAAACTTCAACGCTGGTTATCATTATATAACCATATTCGGCTCCAAGAATATGTGAGGCAGCGTGGCGGAATCAGGCTCTCGTCAAAATAATAAAAGGGATGAAACATGAATTTTTCCGCAGGTTTGTGAATTTTTATCTAATTTTGGTTTTTTTCTCAACACCTTTCATGCCCATTAAAGAACTGATTTCTGTGTGGATTTTTAAAAAAAAATGTTGACTAAAGGCACTAAAAATGTAAATTTTCAGTTACCACAGGCTCTTAAGCTAAGGAAATAACTAATCTTTGGCTGTCATTTTCTCCTTAATTTTACCTCTGAAAACAGGTGACCCCCCACCTCCTTCTATCTCAAATATCTCGACTTGTATTCAAGATAAATGGATATTATTTTCATCCAAATAAAGACTAGTGAACAAGCTTTAAGATAATACTAATAACTTTGCATGTCCAAAAATTGATGAGAGCCTGATTCCACCACGCTGCCTCACATAGGTCTTTTTCCCCAAGAACACAGTTCTTAGGTTTTGGAGTGTCTTCGCTCTGTACATCACATCAACAGGCAACAAAAAAACATTGAGTCTACTCTAAGACTCTTATTCTTAAGCACAGCCAAACAAAGGTCTGATACGTTGTCTCTTGTTATGTAAAACTTTTACTTCATCCATTCAAAATATCAACTTCCACTCCAACAAACCTCTGAAACATTCACAGGGATTAAGTATTGTGCAACAAATGTACATAACGACTTAAGACTATTTCATCAAATCTCAATCTTGACATAATTTTGTCAAAATCAAACATTCAAACACACAACACTACATATCAATGGTGTTAAGCTCTTACCATACAACTGGACGAAATAGGTCAACTATATTTTATACTTAAAACCATTGCTGGGTGCGATCTGCGAGTCCTGGTTTCTACATAATGCAATGTACAACAGTACATTTGGCTAACTTTTGTGTCTTATCTCTCTCATCATCTAAATCAAAAGCGCTTTTTTTTTTTTCAGCGAGTTGAAAAATTTCAAAGAAACAAGTTACACATGGTTAGCAGTGCATAACGCCATTGACATTTCATCAACTGTTTAGCACGTGAACATATTATCACGCAATGTGTAGGCCTAAAAAAGTGCTCTATTGCATAATGTCTTTGGAAACATGAAACTCCAAGGGTAATGCTTATGTGACTTCAGCTGAAGCAAACACTTTAATGTTGCATTCACAGGCAACACCAATCACACACTGACACATGTACTATCACACTGCGGCAGAACATGAGCTCAACATAAATGACTTTAGCCTCACAGTTATGGTATTATCAAACAAACTATAATTTTGTGCTTTTGGATAGAAGCGAGGGCTATTCTCAAGATAATACCAAAGTACTCTCTCCTTGGGAGTTTTACTTTTAAAGTTCCACAATATAAACATGAGATTCATTTCCAGTAGTGGTAATCCTGAGAAGAAACAATGAATGGTAATCTTTCTGACTTTCTGTCTTAATCACATGCATGACATAGGTATCTCTGATCATACTGTGGATGATTACTTATGATTCCTGGAACAGTAATCAAAACAGTCATCAAATCAATTGCATAAACCATCTAATCTACAGAGAAAAGACACCTCTTCTTCTTCCAGCCTTCAAAGAAATAACTGACAAGACCGCTGAGGCCACCCTGGCGTACAGACACTTGGATAGTTTGATCACTATTATAGACTGAAGACAACAGGCCACCTTAGAATAACAAAGTTCTATCTGACATTTTTGACTGTTTTGAGTTACTAAGAAGACCATGAGGTCAGAAACCAAATGTTCCATCTGCTCTATCAAAATCCCAGGATTATTCAGAGTCATTATCAATATATTCAAAGACTTGCATTCAAAAACGTTTGACATGTCATGTTGTGAAATTCAAAATCTTTAAAGTCAAATTTCTCAAAATTAGGCACTGATCTGATAGAACTTTGTAATTTTCTGAGGTAGCAAACAAGCAGTCCTGGAATGTACATCTTGACAGTGTGGTAAAAAGGATAATCAAAGGCTATATCTTTTAAAGAAATACTGGCATTCCAGTTATTTGAAATGGACAGAAAGCTTGAGTACTTTCAGAGATTCATGTTACGGTGGTAACATCTCTAAACAACAACATATTACGTTTGGACAGTCATACGAATGACAGCAAAAGTTGTTCACAGCTCAACCAACTCTTTCATACAGCTTTACAACATCAGTGTTGTGAAAGCATCAAAGGAGACCATTGCAGACAACAAGCACCCGTTACATTCAGAATACCAGATACCTGTTAGAAGTAAACGTTCTATCTTTAAAAAAAAAGCAAGAACCAACGGTTATAAAAATTCATTTGTACTGTCAACAGTACGGGCTAAAGTCATTGTCATCTTGGAGAGAACATTATTTTGTATGTCTATCCAATGACTATTCCTGAGTGTGTGTAAGTGTGTATGTATGTGTGTGTTGACCTGTACATGAGTGTATTTACTATTCCGACGAAATTTCTCTAAAGTGGAGATCAATAAAAAGTTATCTATTTCTCAAAACTCTAGAGACAAAATGTAATGCTGGTAAATCAACAGGCACTTGTTCAACAATTCACAATTTAAAAAAATCTACATAATCATACCAAGGAAATAAACAAGAAGAAGAACAGAAATCTTTGAGGAATTATATACTCAAATTCATGAAAGGAAGAAAAGACATTCTTCAAACAGGAAAATCTCTCCTATATCCAGAAAAGTCCCTGCATAAATTTGCGTTTTCTTTCAACAAAAGCAGTGTGCCTGTTCTGAATGACTTAACTCACACAGACTTCCACAGGTTTTTTTTGTTTTAGTAGAAGTTTTACAGCGCACGCAACTGCATAAGGTCATATGAGCGCCAAGGGGTGGGTGTCAACAGAGAAGTCCAAACAGGACTTCCACAGTTGAGACAGACAGAATAAGGGCAACTACCCACACAGTTTGTTTAACATCATATCCTTGCAGACATTCATCATATGTCAAAATACCAGGTTTTTCAGGAGTTGTCCTATGTCAAAATACCAGGTTTTTCAGGAGTTGTCCTATGTCAAAATACCAGGTTTTCAGGAGTTGTCCTATGTCAAAATACCAGGTTTTTCAGGAGTTGTCCTATGTCAAAATACCAGGTTTTTCAGGAGTTGTCCTATGTCAAAATACCAGGTTTTTCAGGAGTTGTCCTATGTCAAAATACCAGGTTTTTCAGGAGTTGTCCTATGTCAAAATACCAGGTTTTTCAGGAGAAGCAAAAAAAAAAAAAACTGTTTATTTTTCTGACAGGATACTATGTTAGTACAAAATGTTAAATTTGCCTAAATCTGTACCTGTAACTATTTTCAGAAGAGTAATGAGACGAGAATAAATCCAAGCACCTCGTAAAACTCTACTGTCCACAACATACTTGATTTTCATTTTTTCCGAATTTTGGACACACTGCATTTTTGAATGATGGTGAAGATATGTTATCAAAAGGCATGGTATCCATTACAGAGCCATAAAACGTACACGTATGTAAATGTAGCTGAAAGAAGCAATGCAACATTAGGACAGACACATCAAGGTTAGCACCAGCACAATCTTCACCTTACTTATGGCGCAAGACAGGTTTCATTACATACAGAACGACCTAAAAGTGGTTGACTTTGCACTTCATAAGATTAAACAACTGGAATGCAGAAAGTAAAATCTGTTATGAAAAAAATAAATATGTGAGCAAAAACAATATTTAGGCGACCAGATGAGTCTCATTTGCGGCCCTACACAAAACACAACATCAGACCGCAGCACTACGAATGTTGCTGCCCGAAGAAATGAGAAACACTCGAAATTGTCCAAGACAGCCACCCATTATTGAAGAGAAAAGTGGTTGTCATAGACAGGTGGATGTCTTGGACAGTGCCATTATAATTTTTAAAAAAAAGTATTTTTAGTTTTAGTAAGAGATTTACGGCACTTGCGACACAATAAGGTCATATAAGTGCCGAAAAACGGATGTGTTACAAGAGAGTAACATACACAAAAAAGAAGGAGGAGAGATAAGGACGATAGATGTTTGATATTTGATAGGAAAGAAGGAGCAAACCACATCAGAGCACCCGCCAACAACCCCAAAAAAGTGAATAGGGACGTGGGGAGTGGTTATTGGCACACTTGATTGTCTTGGACCCAAGACATACGAAAAACTGACAAAATTCTCAACACTAAAGGACTTTGACTTTTGCTACTAAGAAAACGATTACAACAGGCTTTCAAGGAGTAGATTTTTCATGAGATGAACTTTTAGCTACGGGACAAAGAAGTGGATTTCCCTACAAGACTTACCAATAATACAAAATCTTTCATTCAAAAAAATCTCAACAAGAAAATGGACCAAAAGTCTCCAGTCAAAGAACGGAGAGAGGGAGAGGCTTGCGGTGGGCCCAGACAATCGCCCGAGGTCTCGGAGGTCACAAGTATACGTTCTGCTGCCTTGAAGCGACGGAGAGTGGAGGAACAGAGCCCTACAGTTACAGCTCAGGGTTACTCCTGCGGCGGACACATGGGGAGAGAGAGAGAGAGAGAGAGAAAAAGAAAAGAGAATGACGGGCACTTTCAACATGAGATTCTCATTGGTTACGGCTCTGGTCAACTCATCACAGAACTTCAGATCTTACAGTGCACCACGTTTAAAAATAATCTTTTTGATGCTCTTTTTTTCTTCTGAATTTTTTCCATTTTGTTTCTTGTAAAAGTTTTGAATTCACGAGTTGAGTCGCCCAGTGTTTTATGTCACAATGCAGTAGCACCCTTTTAATTACTTCACGAATGGCTGGAGCTCACAAATTTCTTTAAAAAACATTAATTCATGTCGCACGCAAAAAAATAAAAATAAAAAATAAAAACAACCCCCCCCCCAAAAACCCACATTACACGGTATGAGTCCTCACACAGAAATAACTTAACTCAGCACAACATAACTAACATGCTTCAGACATCAAGACACTCCCTTCCAATAGAATAGACTACTTAAGCAGCATTTTTGCAATACCGTGTACCAGTAAAAAACTGAAAAGGGGAAAGCATGAAAACATGTGATCTGAACGAAAAGGTCGGTTAATGAAGTTTTCACTTCACAAATTCAAGTGAATGGTTCGGGGAAGACAATTGTTCTGAACAGAATCAGTGGAAGAACGAGGAGAAAAAAACGTCTGCCATAAGAAGACAACCAATGTCTGTGGTCTCCACAAATATGATCACATTATGATTAATTGTAGTTTACAAGTCCGGAATTGCAGAGAACTCAATGTCTGCCAACTTATCACAGCTGGTTGTTTTTGTTTTAGTAGAGGGTTTTACGGCACTCGCAACTGCATAAGGTCATATGAGCGCCAAGGGGTGGATGTCAACAGAGAGGACTTTACAGGGAATCAGGCTTACACTGCTCACCTCTCAACAGCACAAAGTCTACTTCGACTATCAAGGCACCTCGGAAATAGCGGGTCACAAGAGAGTGACAAACATACACAAGAAGTAGAGGAAAAATGACGACAGTAAGGGTTAGGAAAGAAAAAGTAGCAGTTCAGGCACAGTTATGAGCATGACATTGATGAATCAGCCCATTTACAATTCTACTGTGCATAAGAACAAGTTAATATCCCCCTTTGGGAACGGCCAAAAGACACTTCAGTCAGTAGCACCGCCCCAGGGGGGGGGGGGGGGGGTCACAGCAGTGGAGGCCACAGACAGAACAACGGCACAGTCTCTCTCAAAGTAGCCACCAAGAGCAGACTGTCCAAGTAGTTGAAGAGAAAAACAGATTTTTGTGACTACGTACGAGAAAAACATTTTTTGATTCACTTTAAGCAAGCTTTTTTTGCTCCTCACATTGGACAATAAGTGAAAAGCATAATATTTTGATTCACACGAAAAAGCAAAACATTTTGGGGAAAAATAACAAAAAAATAGATTTTCTCAGAATCATACTCACCATACCATGTTTTGTGTGTATTCAAATGGACGATTCCGAGGACACTCTTACAAAACACAGGAGAAACTACTTATGGTATACTTAGACCTACAAAGTAAGGATTGTTTTAAAAGTAATTCTCTTAGAACCACGGACAACAGTCTTCTTTTTCTACCAGTAAAAGAAAGTACAGTCTCATTTATGCCAATAATATTGTAACAGTAGAAGTTTTACGCCCCAATCAACACATTCTGATCTTTTAGGAGACGGGCCGCTTTCACCTTATCTATCAAGGCCAACCTAGGCTAGGATGTTTTAGTTTTAGTTTTAGTAAATGTTTAACGGCACATGCAACACAATAAGGTCATACAAGTGCCGAAGACTAGAGGTGTTACAAGAGAGTAACAAACACAAAAAAGAAGGAGGGGAGATAAGGACAATAGATGTTCAATAGGAAAGAAGAAGCAAACCACACCAGAGCACCCGTCAACCACCCACCTAGGCTAGGAAGGATAGGTTACAACGTCCAAGCAGAAAGAGACAGTCTAGTTTGAGCCACTAACTTTGCATCAGCCAAAGATTGCTGAAAAAACCTCACACTTATTGTCTTAATGACCACCACACTTTCAGTACTTCTAATCATGCTGATCATAACTTTCTAATGAGAAACACAGTCGTGAAAACAAATAAATCTTTGCCATTTTGTCTCCACTTCTCAGCAGTAAGGAACACAGTGTACAACAATAAGGCAAATTTTTATCTCTTTACCTTCCTTCTACCACCTTCCTGCCTTTGAGCAGGGAAATCAATTCGACAAGCCAGGAGTTCACACCAGACAGTAAGTGAAGAGTATGATGTTATGATTGTTAGAGTCGTTCCATTTAGGCAACAATATTCGTTAGTACTTGAAAGAATTTAGAAAGAAGCTGAATAAAAGAAAGAAAACATGGGTGAAAAAAAATCGGTGTACAACAGGTAGTGTTGACCTACCCCAATATCATGATATGCATAAAAAGAATCCCAAAAGTACACCTTTCCCCACTGGTTATAAGAACAACTATGGATTCTACTCGACTCACACACACACACACACACACACACACACACACACACACACACACACACACACATATATATATTCATATATATATATATATATATATATATATTCATCGACCTATTTAGACCTTAATCAATTGCAATGCTACAAGGGCAACACCTGCAGATAGGACGAACAACATCAAAATTACATTTGAACCCGACAAAAACGGTCACTCAAGATCAAAGAGAAAAATGGCCGTTAAAGTGACAGGTGACCACTACGGACAGGGTCCGGGGAACGGTCACTTACTAGACTCGACAAAGTCAACATATGGTTTAGAATCTGAAATTTTAATTTCAGCTTTCCACTTCCCTTCTATTCAAATTGTTATATATCATACTAGCTTCTTTGCACTGATTGAACGTAGACACTCACTCTGAGGAGGATGGGCTGGCTGCAAACTTTTTTCTAGTAAGTGACCGCAGTGAGCAGGAATTGAGGCCGACTTGTCGCGAAAATGACTGACCCTGGCAGGTTTGACTGTACATACATATTAACTCTAAAATTAGACAGAGCAAAAACTTCGTTGTACTTGGTCTGATGCAGACAGACATGAAACAAAATCCAAACGTTCGTCAGAAAGACAAAAAAAAAAGCGATTGATGTGTCAACTTTTATGATTTAGTAAGTGTTTTACAGCACTTGTTGCACAATTAGGTCACATACGGGTTGTAGATTAGAGGTGTTACAAGAGAGTTTTTAAAGTTTTAGTTAGAGTTTTAAGGCACTTGCAACACAATAAGGTCATACGACTGCTGAAGATAAGAGGTGTTACAAGAGAGTAATAAACACAAAAATGAAGGAGGGGGAGATGAGGACGATAGATGTTTGATAGGAAAGAAAGAGCAAACCACACCAGAGCACCCACCAACCACCTGCAATACTTCAAGGCAATCATTTTGCATCCTTCAGACACGTACAACAACCGTGCATAAAAAAACATGCCATCGTGCACACTAGTCGCAAACACTCTGGCCACATTCTAGAAAAAGGAAAAAAAAGAAAGAAAGATCCAGAGATGAATGGAGTTAACGATACAACAAACATGGCAGCATGCAGCTGTTTGCTTTAAAAAACAATTCTAGGTGAAACAACAAGACTGTTGGGACACATGAAATTAATCACGAGATGAAACCCAAAAATGTCTGTATGTACAAATAAGTAATATCAATTCCCACTATAATCTGAGAGGAATGTAAGCTAACGTGATCTGCACGACAAAAAGAAATCCAACGCATCTTCAATATCAACGAGTACCGTACAATTTGATTTCATCTCACTGAAAATTTCTAAGTTTCTCCCCTAACAAATGATCTTTGCAACAAATAACAAATCTTCATCAAAGAACATATCTCATATATATATATACTTTAGCAACAATCGCAAGAAGTGTTAGAAAAGAGATATTTTATCACAATTAAATCATTATTCATTCTATGATATATTAATAAAAGAACCATTTGCACAGTGATCTTGGGCCCATGTTGTGGGGAAAGGTGGGATACAAAGGCTCTTATTATTATTATTATTATCTTTCTGAGGAATCCATATAAAAAAATTACACATGATCACATGAAAGAAATACTGAATTAAAAGAAAAATAGAATCATCTTTTCTGTTAAATGACAATTTATAATATTGTACTTAAATCAAACTGATAAAATCAGCTCAGTGTACGAGATACACGCGCTAATTTGAGCAATAGTTTTTTAACGCTAATATCAAATTCAGGAAATTTTATCATGATCATTCTGCACAGGCCAGAAAATATCTTAAGTGTAAAACCCACAGTTACGGTACACATCTGTATAATGAGAATTCTAAAACCACATGTATGTATGTACAGTGGATGTCCTTTTTCAAAGGGCAAAAACATGATATATGCATAAAACCATTATCTTTAAAGATGAATACTTCAATTTAATAAAATAAGTAAAAACCCTGCATCTGCAAACACCATGATACCATATTTCGCATCCAACAGATTTGCAAAATAGTTTAACTCGTATATGATCTGTGTAGATATATAAGCTTGAACTTCAAAATAAAAGGCGCAGCAACATTTTGGCTGTTTTGATTGATATGTAGAAAAGAAACACTCATGGACTTAGGAAGGCTGAATAGATTGCTCAGAATCAAGTTTTGCTGTAAAAAAAAAAGATGCAATTCTCCAACAGTTCATGACAGTTGCCCTTTATGAACAAACAGCCCCCAAGGCAGGAGTAGAATCTAGCGTAAGAAAAGATTAGAAGAGCAACTGCACCAACTGGCAGTCCTCTCCAGTCAATGTTACGACAATTTGTGGTTTAAAGATAACCCAGGGGTCATGCACGGATATATCACTGCCTTGTTGTAGGCCTACATCACAGTAAAAAAACGTGCTGATAAATCGTGACACAAAAAATAATTAACACTCTGCAGTCACAAAGCCAACAGTGCAAAATTCCCCATATGGTCACTGTGCCAGGAGAGTGACTGCAACGGGCTTCTCGGGCCTGGCATAGACTGTGCCAGGTGACTGGAACGGATTATTTTCACCGTCGCATTATTGCGCCAAGTGACCACAAAGTGTTAAAAGAAACATGATCCTCAACCGGCCCCCACTTTGCTGTAGGGAGATGTTTACAAGAGTGGCAGCTTTTTGGAATGCAGCAGTTAACAGATACAAAATACAAAAACTTTTCCTCAAATAAAAATCATGTTGAATATAAGCAAAGAAACTGTTTTTGAACTTGGGATTTCTGTGAGAAACAATTTTTTGCATCAAATAAAAGTAAAACTATCATACATATGTACATCTAGCTTTATAACGAAGACAGAATTTTCAGCATAAGATAGATTAAACAGATTATCTATGTCATAACTGCCAACAGTTTTGCACCTCTGACATTGTCAGCTTGGTGATTCCACAGCCGGCTTGGTGATTCCACCCCTACACACTAATAAAACACCCGACAGTCAGCTCCACAATTATACACATATATGAGCTTGAATATGCTCCGGTAGAAAATCAACAAAGGCACCGTCACCGAGAAATAACTCACAACAACATGGGGAGGGGTGGCAATTGCAGTAGAATAGAAACGGGGAAGGCAAAAACTTTCTGCTGTTCACAGCGTCACATTATAAAATAGCCCATGACCACAATGGAGAAGAAAAAAATTTAGTTGTTAAATCTTGCGCCCCCCTCCCCCCCAAAGCCTCGTCCTCTCGAGGCTGAGGACTTGACCACCCCCAGGGAACAGTGCTGCTGCACTTACCATGTAGCTAAAGGCACTCCAAGAATTCTAAAACTCAATGAAATGAAAAATATAAAAAAATTCCGTTCTGACAAAGAAGCAAACACATCATGCCAGCGTGAATAAGCATCCCAGAATTCTAAAATTCAAAGAAATTTTAAAAAAGAAAGAAAAAAAGTTGTTCTGACAAAGAATTAATCATCACACATCAATGGGAAACACATCATCAAGGGTCCAAGAACTCTAAAATTCGAAGAAATAAAAATTAAAAAAAACCAAAACAACAAAAGTTGTTCTGTCAATAACGCAGACACACGACACGCCAGTGTGGAGCACATCTTCATGCAAAAAACAAACAAACAAACAAACAACCAACTTCCACAAACAGACACACAAGCACAGAACGGGGCATTCTGCTAGAAGTGTTCACTTAGCCTACTTCCTGCGGCAGCCCCGATCCTCCGGCTGCAGGTGCAGCACGTTCGACAGAAACACGCGGAAGATGCGGCTGAAGTCGTCGATGAGCCCAAAGTCCAAGTGCGCCCAGTCGTCCGTCATTTTGTGCCACACCGAGGGGAACGGGGTCGAGATCAGATGCAGAATATCAACACCTGAAGAAACATAGTTTTCAGACTATGATTACAAGGGCACAAACTGAACCTGAGAACATAGCCAAAGCTTCACGCTATCAAAAGGTAGTGCTAGTGAGCAAGTAAGCAAGTGCTAGCAATATTCCTTTGTTAGCGTTTTATTGCATAAATATACACCTAGAACCAAATGTGTGTACACTGGATGTTTTTTACCATCTAGGTCTTATCCAAGAATCAGAGGGAAGAAAAAGAACTTTATACAAAAGGAAACGAAAACTTTATGGAGAAATCTTAATTTGTGAAGTGTGCTGACAAAATGAGTTACTTCTCGGATTTCAGCCCTATGGAAATAGCTACACCATGCCTATAGTTGAAGCTTTTACAATTTATAAGCATGAAACAATAAAAGGCAAGTTACACTTAAAGAATATGGCATCAATAGAAAATTAACAAATTTGACCCTAATGTCGATTTTTGGCCAATATCTCCACTTGTGGATAGCGAGAAGTAACTCATTTTGTTAGCACACCTCACATTTCATTCTTTCATTTCAGTTCCATCAAAATTGTTATCTATCATTTCTATCAAAATTGACATCTATTATTTCTATCAAAATGATTATCTATCATAAAAGCTTTTTTGCAGTGATTAAATGTACACACTTAGTCTGAGCACTGGTTTGTGGAAAACTTTTGTAGCAAGTGACTGTTATGAGCAGATTGTGAGGCCGTTCATTTCAGAATAAAAAACTCCAAACCGGCCAAAAAATGACTCAGGCAATTATCTTATGAGTGTGAGGATATGTGAGATTGTGTCATACCCCTCTCAAGGAATGGTTTATGGTCATCCTCTATCCCGCCCCATCCTTGGCGATCTGAAAAGATTGGACCTGAGTGTTTCCCTGTCAAGAAGCCATTGCTGCGTAAATGTTTCTCTGAAACAAACGGAGAGAAAAAGCATATCATAATAATTTCTTATTTCATGATGATAATAATAATAATAATTATAATAACAATAAAAAATAAAAAGCATTTTTATCGCGCATATTCCCTGCTCGACAGCAAGCTCTATGTGCTTTACAACCCATATTATTACCCCAGCAGAACACTTAAAAACATTTTTGTTTTCCTTGGAAGCATATAGAGCAAGCAGCCAATTAAGCACTCATCTGCACTGCTAAGGGCTCACATGGATGGGGTAACACCTACCCCAAATTGCATCCTTACTCTCCTTCCTCGCATTGCAGCATGGTGAAAAGATTAGAGCCGATGGAACCAAACTTGATAGCTTCGTTTCAAATCAGGGCCGAGTGGGCAAAGCATTTTCTGTCTTAGACACAGGTAAAAAAACCCCTGAAGGAAAAGAATTTCTCTTTCCATTTCCAAGTTAGACAGGTTTCGGTTTTATAGAGGTAATTATAGAGGAATTTATCAAGGCCGTCTTACACAGGAATCCATTAACTCTTTATCTCCCGCAAGCCACTCCCAGCGGCTCACAGTTGGAACTACTGTGCTGGCGACAGTGGCTTGGGCACATTCCTTTACAACCACTTTGAAATCAAATTACTTTTCAGCAATTGCCAAAAACAGGTCTCTTATACCGGAAGTTCATTCATCGGATGAAGAACTATCAAAATAGGTCCACTAGTTTCGATTGAAGGACATTTTTGTCATTTTTAGATTTAGCACCAAAAATAGGGCCTCAGGGTAGTGGGTTTACCCCTCTCGGAGATAAAGACTTAAGGTAGGTTTGACTGTAGTCAGAAGCTTTGCTGTCTATTTACCTGTCTTGATCAACTGTGCGAAAAGGTCCGAGGTGCTGGAGAACTGGCTGGTGAACTGTGTGTCCGTGGTGCCGATCAGGTCCAGTAGAACAAGCTCTCTCTGGTGGGAAAAGAACAATACACCAAAAGTCTTGAACATAAGAAAACATTTTTTTGCAGCAGCTGCAGCAGCAAAGACAAAAACTCATAATGTCAGCCAGCTATTTAGCTGAGCTAAGCCCAAAATTTGATATTTAAAAAAAAAGTTTCTAAATCTACGGTATAGTACATCTTAACTAAACTACATAAAGTCAGCATCCAATCTCGGTGTCTACTGTTCCCGTTGCGGGTGGTTGGTGGGTGCCCAGGTGTGGTTTGCTCCTTCTTTCCTATCAAACATCTATCGTCTTTATCTCTTCTTCTTTTTTGTGTTCGTTACTCTCTTTTAACATTTCTAATCTTCGGCACTTACATGACCTAATTGTCTTGCAAGAGCCAACAAACACTAACTAAAACAAAACAATGTTGTTCACACTCAATCATACTTTTCTAGAAAAACAAAATTTTTACATAAGAATAATAATGTCCCCCCCTGCAAGAATCAGAATAGATGATTTTTAAGAAAAGGTATATCTTCATTATTGTAATGCACATTGAGCATTTTTTAGAAAATGGAAATGCACAGCATAAATACTATTTATTATTATTATTATTACTATTATT